TGTAAACCTATCTTATATTCTAGGTAATTAATAGAATCTCTGCTTTGTAATTTTTCAGGAGCAATTTGTAATCCCCAACCAGGCAAAATTTTCTTTACTTCTTCAAACATTTTCTTACTAAGGTATCTGCATGTGACTCAGCTTCATATAATGGTAAATTATAGACTGAGGAACAGTTTATGGATTATTTCTAATGGCTGATGTACAAAATGTCGACACAAGGTAGGGGTATTTAAACGCCTTTGTGGAAGAACTTTCCATTAATACCTTTTAACAGGCTGAGACTTATAGGCACTGTGAAGACAAATATTTCTCTATCCTGTTCTTTAAAAGGTATAGTAAAAAAAAAAAAAAGCAGTCTTTTAGGTTAATCACTATAATAGACCATCCTTTAGGTAATAAGGTAGAGGAATTCCGGGCTGTAAAGAGCCCACTGGCAGTATCACCTTGTTAATAGTTGTTACATTTGTTACTATTCTCCATCTTTCAGATTTCTTTTCAATGACAGATATAGGAGAATTCTAAGGACTGGTTGATTCTTCAATATGTTGAGCTTTTAGCTGCTCCTGTACCAGCTGTTCTAGTGTCTGTGATTTTTCTGATATCAAAAACCCTTGTTCCTCCAGACAGGTTTGTCAGTTAACCATTTCAAAGGTAGGGATATTGATACCTTTGAAAGATCACCAGCTTCTGTCTCCTTCTTATGTACAATCTGAGTGGTCTGTGGCTGCTCTTGATAACACCTTTTCATATTTTCTCAGAAGCATTTTTTTTATTTTATGGCTTGTTTCTGAGATTGGAGGAATGTTAATTTGTTTTTCATTATTGTAACAACTCACACCCCCATAAATTACTTGTTATGTTAGCCACATATAGTATTAATTTCCCTGTCTGTCCTTCTAGCCCTGTACAATTGACCCACCTTGGAGTTTGTTTTACCTGAGATTAAGTTCCAACTCCTAGAAACTGAAGATTTACCTTCTTAAAATGCCAATCTGGATGCCAAGCTTTTGGTGAAATTATTGTTACATCCATAACTGTGTCTAGCAAACCTTTAATTAAAATGCCATTTATTCATATCTTTAGTTTTGGTCTTTGAGCATTTATAAACGTTTGCCAAAAATACTTGTTTTATGGCCTCTCCTGAAATTTTTCTATCATCCAGAGCAGTATTTTTTTTTTGTTTGTTTGTTTTGTTTTTGTTTTTGTTTTTCGAGACAGGGTTTCTCTGTGACTTTAGAGCCTGTCCTGGAACTAGCTCTGTAGACCAGACTGGTCTCAAACTCACAGAGATCCGCCTGCCTCTGCCTCCAGAGTGCTGAGATTAAAGGCATGCGCCACCATCGCCCGGCCCAGCAGTATGGTTTTAACAACAGGCATTAAGTCTTTGAATTGCTCTGTAGAGGAGTTTCCCCAATGTCAACAGGTAATGATTGAACCAAATTTGACATTGGGGTCTGCGAGAGAATCCCCCTAAGATATTTCTCAGTGGCAAAATGCTACCTTGCCTGTTCCTTGTTCTGCATTCATTAGCTCAATGCTGACCTTTGCTGGGCCTTCTGTTTGGATCTTCTCTAGAATAAACATTGTTTCTAGGAATGCCTGCCTACAATCCCTTTTCAGATGACCTTGTTTACCACAATTAAAACATCTGATGTTTTCATTTGTCTTGAAATTTTTAGAAATTATCTCTCCTATTAAATTAGCATCATAAATGTGAGACCCAATATCAGTCATGTTTCTAATCCACCTATGGGTGCTAATCTTGCCTTTTAAAACCTAGTCATCCTTTTAAATTTTGAATTAGCATCTTTAAAAGCCAAAGATTCAATTAATATTCATCTGACTTCTGGATCTGATACTATTTTATTTATAGCTGAAATCAATCATTGTAAAAAAAAAAGTCAGTGGCTAGGTGGGGGTGGTATACACCTCTAATCCCAGCACTAGGGAGGCAGAGGCAGGCAGATCTCTGTGAGTTTGAGGCCAGACTGGTCTACAGAGCTAGTTCTAGGACAGCTAGGGCTGTTGCACAGAGAAACCCTGTTTCAAAACAACAACAACAACAAAACCCACCACCACTACCAACAACAACAACAAGGTCAGTGAAGGCTTCTTTTTGGCCTTGTATAATTTTAATAAATGAATCAGACTTCTTCCCTGATTCTTCAACCTTGTCCCAAGCATTTAAAGTTGCTGCATCAAGTGATGGGGATAAGCCAGTGGCATTGGTGGCTCCACACCACTTTGGCACAATCTAAGACCAGGCTTTGGATGCCAGATACTGTGGATTCTTGTTTAACTAATAAATAAAGCTTGGGGATTAAATATTAAGGTATTAGCCCTACAGACCCACAGAGCAATGGAGAAAAGAATCAGGTAACTTTCTCCACCTCAGACTGAAAAAGACCTTGAATCTTTTCAAGTCCCTTCTTATGCCTCTCTATCTATCTTCCTCTGAGTCCTCCAGAAAACTCTATGGTTCATTCCAGTCAGCTGAATGTGGATTCTTTCTACCCTCTGATTCAAGACCCAATTCCATTGGTGGTCTCAGAGAGATAATACAAACAAGTCTCCTGCAACAGATATAACCTGTTCCATTTCTCCTAGGGCTGATCTCATGTCCCACTCCTCTCTTCCAAAGAAGTACCCAATGCCTCCCACAACAGGTTGTCCTGGTTGGATGACAGAGGGTGACCTGGGCAGAGCAGCAGATACCTACGGTGCATGCCACTTCAGTCCCCTGTGCCAAAACACGTTCTTAACTTCACTTCCCTGTGCCAAAAACGTGTTCCCCAACTTCAGCTAGTTAAACTAGACTGGGTGGGGACAGAGGGCTCCTCAGATTAGACGTCACTCTTGAATGAAACACATTCCATTGTCAGGTAAACAGGGAGGGTGTGGTAGAGGTGGACCCAGCCCAGCTTCTTTCCGGAGGGCTGAGCTCTGTTGTAAGAACTTGCTGTCTACCCGTCCAGTCCCTGACATTCCTACCCAGCAGAGGCCCCTAGACTGGCCTGGCACCTCTCTTCCTGGAACTTTCTCTGCTCACGTATCCTCTCCAATTCCTGCTTGTAGTTTGTGGGTGACTCACATTCTGGTCACCCCTCCTCTGGGAGGAAGGAATAAAGAAGAGGGGTGGGAGGAACTTCCCCTAGGATTGAGGGCACTCTTGCAAAGCTCCAGTTCTACTCCTATGAGTCGGGCTTTATCAGTCACCAGCTTACTATTTAGGGCAAGAGGAAGCTTCGAATCAAGAAGTCTGGGTCTCTGGAATATCTGGAGAAGTTAGTATCAGAGAAATTATCTCCAAGCTACTTTTTTTGTAACTGCTCTGCTAAATATAAAAATAACCTATATTTATTGCAATAAATAAGTTTAGAAAATTCTAAGAGCATTCTAAAATTATCCATGTTACGTTTACACAAACATCAAAATTGGTTCTTTCCCAGTTTTTCTGGTTTGCCTATAAAAGTGTGTTTTAAAAAAGATCTGAACATGTGTGTATGTACGTGTGTGTGTGTGTGTATACATACATACATATACATATAGGCATCTTTTTCTTTTTTTTTTTTTCAAGACAATGGTTTCTCTGTGTAGCCCTGGCTGCCCTGGAACTCACTTTGCAGATCAGGCTGGTCTTGAACTCAGAGATCCACCTGCCCCTGCCTCCGAGTGCTGGGATTAAAGGTGTGCACTATCACTGCTCTGCGGGGCCATTTTTTTTTTAAACTATTGTTTCCATTTCAATTATTTGAGGCAGAGTTTTATTGTGCCGCTCAGATTAGCCTCAAACTTGTGAGCCTTCTGCCTAAGCTCCCTTGACTGCGATATAGCCGCGCACCCACACTGGCTTTTGTCCTTGACAGTTTTTATGCCTTGCCTTTTAACTTCTCGTGGACACTTCCCTGTTTCCTCGATTACTCTGGAACAATCTTAATGGCTCTATTACAATCCAGTCAATGATAGACTTCTGAGCCAGGGATGAAGCAGGGTTTGCTTTCAGAACAAAGGGAGGCATGAGCAGGGTGCTCTATAATCACTATAATCCTATTGCTTAAGAGGCTGGGGCAGGAGTCTGAGGCAGCTTGGACTACACAGGAGACTGTCTCAAAAAACCAAAAGAAACAGAGATTGATATGAGAGGGAGCCATTTCATCATTTCCTCCCTCCCTCCTTCCCCCATCCTCACCTTTCTCCCCCTCCCCGCTTCATGTGTGTGTCCATGTACACATATGTATATGGAGGTCAGAAGACCCTGGGTATTATTTTTCAATGCCATCTGCCCGCCCCCTTTTGAGACAGACTTTCTCACTGGTTGGATCTGTGGCTCTCATTGTAGGCTAGCCTGACTGCCCAGGGAGCCCTGCCTACTCCTGCCTTCGTACCACTGGCATTACATGTACACACCACCACGTTCACCTTATGTGGGTTCTGGGGATCAAACTAAGGTCTAATGCTTGCAAGGCACCAACTGAGCTATTTTGTCAGCTGCTCTTCCATTCTTCAGGACTCTTAAGGACATCTCTATGAAACTGTCTGTGAGGCCCAAGTTCAGGTTCCATCCGGTCCATAGTACCCCCACAGCATCCCATCATCCCACTATATTTTACTAAATAGATTTCTTTGGACTGGCAAGATGGCTAAGATAATACGGCACTTGCTGCCAAACCTGATGACCTACGTTTGCTTTCCCTAGAACCCCTGATAGAAGGAGCAGATGGAGGCTTTTCTGTTCCCCTGCAATGTGAGCTCCGCAGCCTCTGCCTGACCCTGCCATCCATCAGCATCCCTCTTTTAGGCTCCTGTGGTCAGTCTGGAGTCTCAAGGACCCACTGACGCCTCTCACCCATGCCTTTTTTCTACAGCATCTTCCTGTGTCTCCATACTCTTTTCTAATGGGTAACATTTCCCTGGGAACAGCCTGGTTACTTAGACACGTGGTTTAATTGCAGAGAGAGTGGGTTACAACAAGTTACACAGGACCAGCACACCAGGAGTAACCACTATGACAGTTTTATTCAAGTCTCTGAGAGCCCTGGCGTTGGACCAGGCCAAGATCAGCATCACACTGTGATACACTGGGAAGCTTGGCCACAGAACCAAGCCTGCTTGGCATCCCTCGTCAGCAATGTACAGTACCTCGAAAGAAATGAAAAGAAAAAGCCAAAGGAAAGAACCTGATAATAAGCTTCCTTCAGGACATTTCCATCTTTAAATATTTCTGGCAACACACAATAATTTAAATTCCAAAGGAAATGGGGGCTCAAGGAGGGACTCTGGGTACACAGAGATGGGGAAGACCGACACAGGAGACTTGTAGTTAAGATACCGGAGGACGAGACAAACAGAACTTACACTTTCCTTTCTAGACTTAAGGGCCCTAAGGGGAGAAAGCCCTGAGAAAGCTTTTTCAGAAAACCAGGACCCAACCAATGCCTCCCCCGAGACTTTGAACAGAGTCTCAGACCTCTGTTTGTGGAGTTGTGGCTGTGGACAAAGGAGAATGGGGGGCAGGGGGAGCAGGACGTCAGTGAGTTCACCTCTCTGGATAGCAAGGCTCAAGGTGACAAAGGGGCAGCAGCAGCACTTCCCTAGAGGACAGGAGCTGGAGCAGGCTCTGGGAACAAAGGAAAGTGGAGTTGCAATGAGGAGCAACATCAGGGAAGCGATGAACAGGAATCAGGAAAGAGAAACCGAGCCTTAGGTGGTACTGGGAGGGAGGCGAGCTGGACATCCCAGCGAGCTCAGAATCCCCGCAGAACTGAGAGAAAGGTGAAGGAAGAAAGAGCCACCATCAGCAAAAAACGAAGTTTGCTGAGCTCTGGGGAGATCACAGGTCAGCCAGGGGACACAATTCCTTAGGAAGAAGGTGATTTCAGAAGTTACGCTGGTCCAAGCTGGGCGAATTTCACCTCAAGGCTTTTCAACAGTGGTCTAGAAATGTGACCACAGGCGAGAATCCTGTCTTAAACAGAGCAGATCAGCAACTTGCTTCCCAGCTCTGTGACTCCAGGATGTGTCTGTTCACACATCCGACTGCGGGGCACACTGCAAGAAGACACAAACGTCTGTGCATGTGTCCAGAGCCTCCTGCGTGGAAGATTTAGTGCTTTCTTAAGATTTGCCATTCAACTCCAGATCCGGCCAGGATAAATCCATGTCTCTGACAGTAAAGAAGAAAACAAAGGCATATGCCTGTCCTATCAGCAGTTGGGAAGTGGAGGCAGAAATATCAGAAGTACAAGGTCATCCCGGGCTATGCAGCAAGTTTGAAGCCTGTCTGGGCTACATGAGACCCTGTCCGAAGTAGTAATAATAATAACACTAATAATAAAAAAAATAAAAGCCATAGCAGACATGGCCTTCAGTGGAGGTAGAGCAAATGACTCGAGTGAAATGCCGACGGGGCAGGGGAACAATGGCCGTGAACCTGACACTGGTGGGGCTGTGAAGGAATTATTTAGAAGACTGGCTGGGCAGGGGCAGAGATTAACATGGGGTGGGGAGAGGCAATGACGACGGAAAAGCGCCCATTCACTCGCTTCTGAGATCCTGGATGAATGAGGTCTATTCACTTCTAGAATTCCCAGAGAAGCTGAAGTTAAGAATTCACAGGCTTCTCTCTCCGTGACCACTTTCCCTCTCCTGGAATACACAGATACCCAGAACGTGGCTTCCAAGAGCCTGAAAGATAGCCAGTGAACATGAAGGAAGGAAAAGACCCCCAGCTACAGTGCCAATGTTGAGAACTGAAGGCTTCACTCTTGTATTTGAATGCAAGTAAGTGCTCCCGGGGGTGGCGGGCTGCACTCAGAACGTGCTGTGTGGGGTAGCAATGAGAGTAAACATAAAGCCTACGTCAAATGCCACACTCCTATCTGGAGATCCAGGAGAGGCAGGCAGGGCCCATCCCAGGTGGAGGCGAGTGAGGCACTTGTATTAGATACAAACCCCAAAGGCATGTTATAAAAAATAAAATTAAAAAAAATCAATAATCAAAGGCTAAACCATACTTCAATGTAACTGAATTTTCTAAAATGCCAAAATTAATAAAAAGCATCCATGATGAGACCAGTGCTCAGCCTAAAGGCTGCCTGTGCGGGTAGCAAGGTGTGAAGGAGTTCAGGAATGAGGGTAACACAGAACTTTTGAAACACCATACCCCTCCCATGGGGTCTTCACATCTCAGGGCTTCCATCTGTCCTGTCCCAGAGGAAAGGCTGGTCTCTGAACACTCTATTTGTATTGGGATTTCCCACCGGGAGACACCACCTAGCTGTCATGTCCACATCTGACAATCAAATGTGAGCGCAATCAGAAGGGAATTCAGGGGCAAGGAAACCGGAGCAGTGTGGACCTCCCACTTAGACAACTTCATTCAACCCCCAGGATCTTCTCTTTCCAACACAAGACTCCAGGGAACGAAGGGACCAAGGCAGTAAGAAATCAGGAAGGAGCAGTCAGTCCCAGGGCAAAGCTCAAGAGAACCCAGTCTCCTAAAGTCTATGGCTTCCCAGGAGCTTAAGGAGGCCTGGGTAGAAATGGCCAGAGAAGGCAATGAAAAGTAAAAGAAACTCACCTGGTCTGCAGAGCCAAGCAGGAGCCCGGGGCTGGGTTAGACTAGTTAGACCCATATTAATTAGCCTCAATCAAACAAGATTCCAGCTCCTGGATTCTGTCCTCCAACTCAGTACCAGAGATACTGAACCTCCATGCAGCAATGCCAGGAAGAGGCCAAGGAGAAGGGCGTTTCCCCTTTTTATGTGCAGATTTTATTATAATTTGTGAACTAGGAAAATATTATATTGCCACCGGGAAATGTTTCCAACAACAGTTGTATCTTGACAAGAAGTCATTCTCAGGTCAAGTCGAGGACAATGACAAGTCATACATGATTGAGCCATATGGCCAGTGTTGGCCTTTGACCTCCACTTATACGTCCATTCACACTTTTTTCTACCAAGGAAAGCAATCTTGCATGATGGAGCTATCTACGCTGGACTTGGTGCTCTGACACCACACACTGAGGAGACCGGCTCTTGCTGTGCTGCCCCAGGCTGACATCACACCCGAGGCTGAAGCAAGTGTCCTGCCTCGGTCTCGAGTAGCTGGCTTTCCAAGGATGCATCACTAGCTGAACCTAGCTTTTACAGTTAGGAGGGTTTTTAATACGACAGTGAGCATCACTCGCAGCTCACAGGAGGGCTTCTGAGGGCCACATATTGGCAAATTTGCAACTTAAAAATGGACAGCTTAAGACGCCAGGTTCTTGCCACCAACTCCCTGAGGGCCACTCTTACCTCTGCCCCTGAATCTAGTCTGGACAAGTCCTTAAGACAAAGTCCAGTACTTCACCAACAAGTAGGACCTGCCTCTCTTCCCAGGTCTTCTAAAAGCAATGAGATGGGTGCTTCTGAACTGTAACACCGTGCCATTCCCCCAAACCAATCCAAAGGCACATGATCAAATAAACACATGATCAAATGGTCAGGGTTCTGCATCCATGTCCACAGATGGACACTTATACCCTGAGGTGTCCACCCACAGCCACCCAGGCTTCAGAGCCCACTGTTCTTTTTCTCTGCTAAAAGGAAGCTTGATATTGGTTGGTCTTTGCCTAGCATATGGGAGGCCCAGCTCTGGGGGTGGTGAATAGCAGAGGAAAGAACAGAAGAGATGAATTTCATGAAGTAAGAATGACCCTTCTCAGCCAGGCAGTAATGGCACACGTCTTTAATCCCAGTACTCAGGAGGCAGAGACAGGTGGATCTCTGTGAGTCCAAGGCCAGTCTGGTCTACAGAGTGAGCTCCAGGACAGTCTACAAAGCTACAGAGAAACCCTGTCTCAAACAAAAATAAAAACAAAAGAAAAAAACAAAAAGAAAAAAGAATGCCTTTCTCATGGGGCAATTAGTGTCTACAACGTGGGGGGGGGGGTGGAGGCAAAAGCTTGGAGAAAGGGGCAAGTCTACACAGCTGGCAATGTCTGTGTCCCTGAGCAACAGCCTGAGGGTCAAGGGGCTTTGTGAGGAGCATCATACTTTGGCACATGATGTCCCATGGACTAGGAGCCACTTTCCCAAAGGTTCTTCCAGATCTGGTTTGATTTCAGACTCTTATCAAATCTGACCCTAGGGATGAGCCTAAAAAAGCAGAGACAGCAAGCTGCCACCAAACTCCCATCTCCTCAATAAAACACAAACGGTAAGAACATCCAGATGACCAGGTTAAGAGAAGGAGGGAATTGGAAAATAAATGATGCTATTGTCACCTGGGCTACATAATCTGGTGGAAGAGCATATGCCGTGTTAAGCCAACCCCAAATCACTCTTCTTCCAGAAGCCAAAGGCTAAAGCTAAGGGAAGACGCCTTGAGGCGAAGGTGGTGAGAACCACACTGCTGGCTTCAGCGTTCAGCTGGCAAGGGAAGAAGCTATTGGCAGGGAGCCACAGCATATCACACCCTCACAAGGGAAGGATATGGTGAAGGGTTTTACAAGGAAACCTGACAGGGGTCAAGACACTGGACTGAAGTCATGCAAGAAAAGCAGAACAGGGGAGTAGGGCCAACTTGTGTTGTCTCAGAGCCTGGGGGGGCCAGACTCAATCATTCAGAGTCTGTCTGTCTGTGTTTTTGAGACAAATGTTTCGAATGTGAAGGAAAACGATGTCATTCTGTAAATGTCAGAAGAAAAAGCTAGCCCTGTTCTGAGCTGTCCAAAGGCAGGCTATTGTTACTACGATGCCTACCCAATCACAGGATGTCAGGAGCATCCACTACGCTTCCTAGAAATAGCTGTAAGGGTAACGCAGGCATCTACTCAGTTCTTAGCCATACAGATTCCCCAAGGGTAAGCTCTGGAAAGTGAAGACCTGAGGAGGAGACACAGCAAAGAACAGTCCCTGATGCTGTTAGCAGCCCCAAGATAATGATTCTGCTCTAAGTAGAAGGCAAGTCTTTGAGGAAAGGGTGGTGAAAGAAAAGGGAGAAGCTGGCTAATGTCACTCAAGTGGGTTTATTCACAGCTACCAGGCCTGTTCCTAACCATGACCACAGATGGAGGGAACCTAAGTCACATAAACTTCCTTAACGTGCATCCCATCTCTAGGCTCGCACGGAGCTGAAGAGGAAATCACCCTCACCACGCACACATCTAATGCATACTCCCAACCCCGCCTTCTCGTCTCTCAGGTACAATCATTTCTTTAGTAAGGCCTTCTTCTGTCTGAATGCTGGGTGGACAAGTAAGAACTAGAGTCCACCTGCCACTCAATGGCAGGTCATTGTGATGCGGAATACGCTGCATCTGTAACACTATGTCTTTCCCAGAAAGCTGGCCACAATCAAACACGGACAGGAAAAAAACCCTGCCTGGGGCTGGAGCATGGGCTGGAGTCAGCTGCAGTCTGCCTCAAAGCCTTAGTGCGTCCAAGATGGGTAGATGTATTTGTAGCTTAGGAATAGGGGTTTTGAAAGATCCAGGGAAGGGCACACAACAGACTATCTAGTCCTCAAGAACGAAGCATCATCACCGGGTTGGGTGGCACTACTGAGAGGGTTCACAAGCTCTCCTCTCCTAGCTGAGGAGTCAGAGCACAGGGGAAAGGGGAAGCGCTTACATTCTCATTTCACGGAACCAAGAGGAAAGAGGAGATACTCAGCAAAACACTGGCTGACACCGCCAGCACCGCTTCCTTGTTGGAGACTAGGGGGCTGCAGGGTCAGGACAAAGGGCAAAAGGGCTCATAAAGAACTTGTGGAAACCAATGTCCTCTCTTAGGTGCTCCCCAGGGCAGGATTTCTATCAGTTACAGAGAAGAGCAGTGATAAAATCTGCCACCTGTCCCATGTGCACCTAATCCTTCTGGGCATCTAGGCAGCAAAGACAGACTCCAACACCACTGGGGACTGGCTGTTACTGTCACCTAAAGGCCACAGTGCACATACAACACAGGGGGCTCAGAGGAAGTGGACAGTGAAGGAAATACATGAGAAATCTTTAGATGAAGCTTAGTATTCAAGTTCAAGAAACAAATACTAAACAAGTCAGCACTAGCCTCATCCGGCTGGTCTCTGCTGTCTAGCTCACAGTGCAGGCCCAGCACAAGGGCTGTCTGTGCTAAGACAAAGGTGGCCTCAATCAGGTGCCCACCAATGGACCACTGAGGGCCTGAAGAACTGTATCATGCTACTGCCTCCAAACACCCAAAGGTTATTACTAAGGGATCCCGTTCACTTCAAGGGCATCACAAAACGCACAAGTCCAATGAAGAAATCCCCACAGTTCCACATCCCAAGGTCCAGGACACACCCCCATATGTTTTCCTGACACACTTCAGCTGTGTCTGTGAATCACCTATGACCTAAAGGCCACTGATTCCGGAACTAGAGGAAAGAACAGAGTCTCAACTAGACAGGTACACGTAGGCACTGTGTCTGACCTCAGACCTGGCATCAGTGAGTGCGTCTCCCAAAGAGCTGTTCCTGAGATGAATATGCTTATATTCAAACCTGGTGTAGCCATGGCCTGAACCCAGGGGGTAGACAGAGCCATTCAATAAGCGTTGATTTCTGCCTTTGTTTCTAAAACCCAAACCCAACCCAAACCAAGGAGTGATTCGAGCACCTTTCTACCCACCCTGGCTGCTTCCCCTGACTGCCTCCTCAGCTCTCAGAGATTTGCACAGGTAGGCAGTTCCAGGTCTGTCAAGCCCTCTGGCCCTCACAAGGCCAACTTGTTCCCGTCAGCTGGCACAAAAGGACTTAGGACACAAGACACTCGATACCAAAGGAGACACCGAGTCATGGGAAGAGCGGAAGACAAGCCAAATGAACCAATCATAGCGCATCAGTACCAGTGTGTGGACAGTAGAACTCACGGCTGACATAGGGGCTACAGGACAGCTCTGGCTGAGGAGAAGAGGCAGTGGACAGATGTGGCTGATGACTGCAGTGTCACCCTCAAGATGAGGAAGACTGGAGGGTGGGGACAAGCCCTCCCTCTCCTGCACAGCCAGAGCTGACACAGCCCCTCCAGTGCACATGGGGAAAAGATCCTGCAGGGCAGGAGACCCTCTGCAGTGGCTGGCCCTGTCTCCATCCCTTCCATCTTCAAAGTGCATTCTCAGTGCAAGGAGGAGGTCTGGATCCCAGGGGGCCTAACCGAGACAGGGCTGTGCCAGCCAGCTCCCTCCATCTCCTCGGGCGTCCCCCTTGCCCACCCTGACCCTTCTGACACTAAGACCAGAACTCCTGCTGGATCTCATAGGGGGAAGGCCCATGCGTGTTCAGTTCTGCTCTGCACAGGGGCACCGTGCTATCCTGGCTCTGCCCCTCTGCATCCAGGTCCAGAAGCGTCCGCTCAGCGGGGGGCAGTGGCCCTGCTTGTAGAGGGAGCAGAGCTGGGAGTCCAGGCCGCTCTTCTACGGTGCTGCTGCTGCTGGCAAAGCAGGAGTCCAGGTTGCTGGGCGTCTCCGTGCTGGAGCTGTTGGCTGGGGAGGCGCTGCGGGCATGGCTGGGGGACACAAACCACCAAGGGTCCAGCCGCTGCCGGTTGGCAGAAGGACGTGGCCGAGGCAGAAACTCCAGGGTCTTGGGTCTCTCTAAGGTGGAGTCCCCTTGTGTGTTCCAGCGCCTTGGAGTTGGGGGGAAGACCACATTGGGGTCAGGGAGACGGGGGAATTCACCTGGGTCTCGGCTGGGACTGGGAGTTTTCAACATTCCTGGTCAGGGAGACAATGGGGAAAGACATCAGATGATGGCATTGTATTTCCAGGCAAGATGAGCACCTCCCCCATATGCCTAGGCACGTGGGTCAAAGGAATTGAATGTTTAAAGAACACCTACTGTGTGTCATGCAGTGTGCTGCGAGGGGCTAGGGATCTGGCAGTGAACTAGAAACCACCTTGTCTTGGGTCTAGTAATAGTAACATATAGGGGGTCACATGTATAATGAACTAATTTAAGACCGATGCTGGGAAGGACTCTTAAGATGGTCCCCTGTGTTTGTGAATAAAGTTTTATTGGGACATATTTTGGATGTACTCTAGCTGCTTTCCATTTACAGTAGTATGGCTGAGTAGTTTTTTTTTTTTTAAACTACTTAACTTTTTAAGAAACTTATCCAAATCTACAAAATCCAAAATATTTACCATCTGGTCCTTTTCCAAAATAGTTTGGGGGCCCCTATTTAAGAGAATGCCTGTCGGTCATGTATGTAATGATCACATGGCAGGGAAAGAGCTAGCAAAAAACATAAAGGTGATTTATGCTGTCCTTATTTCTAAAGGGGTCACACACCCAGGTACAACAGACCTAAGGAGCAAGAGTCAGACACACAGTGGGGTAACAACTGTCGTGCACACTTAAGTCTCACCAAAAGGAAGTGACCACGTTTGCTTCTCTGACTAGACTAGGGGCTGCTTCTTAGCCAGACTTGGGTCTTTTAGGGAGCAAGGGATGGGGACAGCAAAGTCCTAGGTTGAAAGTACGAATTCATCGGAGTCTCAGGGGTCAGATGCAAGGCAAGCGTGTGCGCATGGACAGCCACCCACTGGACATGTCTCCAGGCCTGAAGGGGCAGGCGTGACTCAAGGACTGGCAATGAAGAACATAATGGGTGGGTGGCAGCCGACCTTAGGTGTGTGTCTGAACTAATGCTGTAATGGCACAGGCCCAAGTGTGTAACAGAAAACACCCTTCCTAGGTGTGGCAAAGATCACTTCCTTGTAGCTGAGAATCTTCCGGGAACAATAAGCTTGCCTGCTGTCCCCGGATGATGGAATGACTGCCCTGTGCCAGAGTGGATTCTTAGCATGCCTCGGGCCCGCGTCTGGCTCTTTCTACAACCAGCCTGTCTCCTTTCAAGATCAGGAGAAGATGCCCATGGTGCAGGGCAGAGAGAAGTCAGCCAGCTCTGGACACCCTGCCAATCCCAGGTCATATCTCTTGCATGGTTGAGCAAGAGAAGAAATTCAAATTTCTTTGGGGTTATCCAAATCCAGAAGTAGAAAGAGGAAATGAGTCACCTACAAACATCTTTACTCCCTGGGGAGCCGCAAAAGAAGCAAAGAGAAAAGAGGAAGTGGCCAGAACTCACCTGTCCCAGGACTGGGGCTCATTCCATTGCTGGAGGGGCTCCGGCTCGCTAGTGCTGGGGGGGCTCCTGTTGGCTTAAGCGCCCCATCAGAAGGAGTCCGCCTGTGACCACTTGACTGTGTAGGGGCTGTGAGGGTGACATGGGTGGGAGTCAGGGACTGATTAGGGTCTCGCTTGAAGCGCTCCACTCGGACATTAACGAGAGGGTTGTGTGTGCACGAGGTGAGGGGTGGAGCTTCAACTGGACTGACTGGCATTTCATACACAACGATCTCATCACTATCAGAGCGCAGCAAGGAGCGGGTAGAGTTGCATTCGGAGATGGAGGAGAGAGAGAGCAGTGTCAAGGAGGCGGACGGGTCTCCTAGCAACATCATTGGCTCCTCCTTCTTGAAGAGCTTTCGGGAAGGGGGGCTGGTACTCCGACGAGGGCGGCTGGCCCTTTGGAAAAGACCCTCGCGCTTTTTCTTCTCTTCTCGGACTGGTGGCTCAGGCTCCTCTGGGGGAAGCAATTGGCACTTGCCAGCTTCCAACAAGTCAAACCCTAGGCCTGTGGCTGCCAGAACAGCTCCACAGCCAAGCAGAGCCACCTCACAGCGCCGGTGGTGGGTCCCACTGCGTTTGAGGCTGTTGGTTGGCGTCAGCTGAGGGGTACTGGTGGCTGAGTTGACTGGGGTGAGCTCCTCATGAACTCCATCACTGGAAGGACCATCCCCATCCTCTCCACGAGGAAATGGGATACAGAGGTAGGACTGGTTGGGCGAATGCTGGAGATGACGCTCTCCATTTCCCGGGCCTTCACCATCTTCATCCTCTGAAAACAAGAGAAACAGCAGAGAAATACAGAATGAAGAGTCTGATCCTTCTCCCGACTCTGCCAGAGATACAGGGCATGGAACTGAGCATGGAGCCAACGGGACTTGTTTTCTGCCACTCAACTGAGACCAGCATGGGAAACTCATCTGCATTCCAGAGCCCATTTCCCTATTTGCAGAAAAGTAGATCTGCTAATTTGCGGTCTCCTTCATAGGGACTCCTCCTTTGAGTGCGGACATAATGCCAGAGACAATCTCACATACCTTTAGCCCCATGGGTACTCTTACAAGAACTTGCAGTATGCATTCCCAGAACACTAGATAAAAGAAACATTTCTAATATTTTTGTATCATAAAACTGGAAGGGCTTTGAATTTCTAGCACAATGCTTAGCAACATGTCTTAAAGTTGGTCTGCACAAGAAGTCAGAATCCTCTACATGGGTGAAGGGCAATCTCTTCAACAGATGGGCCGATTATGACTTGGAAATCTACAGAGAAAAGAAAACTGGAGGAGCTTCTAGAGAACTCAGCCACCATTCATAGCCAGAGAGCCACATTGGAAAGGCTTGGAAAAGGGAAATGTCTGGTTCAAGTCCTCAACCTTGCACACTGCCCTGGGGAAATGACTGCTGAACTCTTGGGGCAGGAAGCCAAAGATAGGTTCCATGGCTATAATACAAGGGAACTGCTTTAGGAAGAGCTAGTAAAATGGAAGTGACAGAGTAGGCGATCAGAGGCAAGGAACAAAAAATAAGACAAAACCTACACATAATACTAGGAATCCTTAAACAATCCTGGAAGTCTGGCCATGAATTCTCTAAGAAAACGAAAAAAAAAAAAAAAAAACCACTTACCTATTTCCATAAGACTGGTGAACCCAGGTAGAGCAGGGCTATTCCTTGGGCCCTTCCCCAAGTTGGGGGCACTGGATGACCACTGTTTGTATCCATCTACCAGGGACTTGAGGCTGGAGGGATGAGGAGGAGATATGTCAACACTGGCTATTTCTCTTACTCTAGCCTCCATGGGCATTCGGGAAATGTCTGTCTACGCTGAAAAGCCATGGGGACCAGACAACTCGTCCTGAGCCCACCTATTTCACAAACAAGTGCGCATGCTCTAGGAGATGAAAAGCGGTGGTTTAGCGCAGTCCTCACATGCTGTGGAGCCATGGAAAGATCGAGTGAGCAGGCGGGCAAGCAGAGTTAAGGACTGAGCTTGTGGAAGATCTTGTCTGAGCCATTCTTAAGGGAAAAGCATTCAACCCCTAGGCTCTAAACACAATACACTCATAACATTACAAGTATTTCAATGCAAACACCTGCAGTGCAAGGCAAGCATGGGGCAGATGAACCAGCAGAAATGGCCTGGGCCACTCCACTCATAATGTTTCTTAGGTTCTCCTTCCACGCTTCTTTCTCGCATGCTTAAGCTTCCAAAGCCCTTCACTCTTCAAAAGGAAAAAAAAAAATCAAGCAATAAAGTGGCACCAACCCAGTGACTTGGGACAGAACTACACAGGGAGGACACTATGTGGCATTCAAGCCAGCCGTTTGTCTGGACATGGAGACAAAGAAACCCTGCCGTCAGCTCACTGGGCAAGCCTGGTAAACCTCCAGAGACAGAATGGATTCCCAACAGCTCCCTTACAAAGAGGGATCTGAGGTCTGGAAGCACTGGTCTTTGCCCTAGAGAGCAACAAAAGGGAGCACTGAGGACTCTTGAATGCTATGGTGGTACTGAAAGCCTAGCCTGTCAATCACTGGGGACTCTACCCGTCCACCTGAAGCCTGTCTCTCAGAGTCCCAAGCCACCAAAGGGAGGGAGAAGGATCCCTTTTTGCCCCAGTCTCAGAACTCTATTTTAAGTGCTGTCAGCCATAAAAAACTATTCAAGGATATATAGCCAAGTGGCCTTCTCTAGACACAGAAACTGGGGTGGGTCAACAGAGGGACTGTCCCAAGGTGCACAAAGGTACTGCTCTTAAGAACACAATCAGCTCCTCCCTTGCAGTGATGAGAGATGAACAAATGAAGGGAAGGGAAGGGCAGCTGCTACCAGCACAGCTTATGGTGGAGGCCAGACTCACCCCAAGTGGAAATGTGCAGACTCTGACGGGGTACTTAAGCCATTAGTTTTTTCCCGTCTCTGAGGGGATCTTCAATGAATAAAGACAATCAGCAACAGGCAGTGCAGACCATCGTCAGCTCACCCTCTCCCAGCCTCAGGCTGCCCAGGCTGGACCAGTTAGGTGGCCTGTCCAATCAGCAAACCCACCCCAGGAAAAGAATGCCATACTGGAGCTGTTTCAGGCCCATGCCCTTCCAATGTAAGGGACAAAGGCCCCTGATGGTCAGAGGGCAACTGCTAGGGGCTGTGAATCATAAATACCCCAGCTGCCTACAGTGAACTATTTTCCTACAGATATTCACTGTTGGATAAAAGGGGAGACAGGAATCTTCTTTTCTGAACTCAAGGTTTGTCATTATAAATTTTCTTCAGTCATCAGGCACTGAAGTTAGGAAATGCTATCATGGAGAAATCGCTAACATTTCTGATATCAAAGACATCTGGACTCAAGTGTGCTAGAAAACACTTTCGTTTCTTCAATAAGAAGTGAGAATAATGAAAAATCAAAGCACATGCTCCCTAATTGTCTCAAAAGTCTGCAAGGACAAATCTACATAAGGAGAAAGAAAAGTGAAAAGTTAGCATTTAGTAGTGTAAAAAAGAAGACTGATCTATTATTAAGACAAAAACCAAACAAAAACCAAACCAAACCAAAAACCAAAATAACAACAAAAACTTTAAGTGAAACAGAACCAAAAAATTCACTAGAATCCTATCTGATAAGAGGAAGGGTCTTGTAAGAAAGGGTCGAGTGGGAAGGGGAGAGGGGAAAGTGGTGCGGGAGTAAGAAAAACTATAATGATCTATCTATATGAAAATGCTACAAAAATCCATCACTTTGTATGTTCACTGAAAAAAATTAGTTGAAAAAATTCAATTACCAGAATCCATAGCTGGTATGGTTAACCTGAGAATTATACTAATGTCAGAAATAGCAAATGATTCAGGGTGACTGAGTTTCTCTGAGCTAAGCCATGAAGGACAGACTGCAAGGTTTTTGCCCCTCCTCTGCTCTCCTGAGCTCTGTAGATTTTGCTGGCCTTACGTTCTGCATCACACACGGCACACATAGATGGCTTGCCCCACAAGTGTCCCTCTTCTATTCAAAGGAGCTCCGTGGTGGTTTCAAAGCTTTACTCGACAGAGTTAGTTCTTTATAAATCAAATTGCTATTTTTTCCCCTTAAGCTCAGACACAGGAAGAGTTTGAACGTGAAATGTTAGTATTCAAATGATTACCAAAGTCAGTTTGACAGGTTTAGAGGCTCCACCCAGTGGCTAATGGGAGGTCACTGAAAACTGAGAGGACTACGGTCGTCACACATAGAATAGCCAGGGGTATTCTAGAAGAAGTACAAACCATGATGCCCACACTGTGGGCATTGAGTAGACGGCATGAAAGGCAGAGAACCGTCATCCCGACTGATAACTAGGTAAATTCACCATGGGCCAGCTAAAGTGATGCACCTCACAAAGAACCCTAACATCCACGCCACACTGTAGGTGAGAAAACATGAGCTCCCACGGCTAGATATGGGGCTGAGTCTCATGGCCAGAAGTCTCCCTGGCCTGTGGGAAACTGATGCAGAGAATCTGCACCCTGGCCTCAAGCCTACAAGTGAGGACACAGCACATTTAAGACACCAAGACCCTTTGCCTGGCAGGGTACTGACACATGTGGTTATGGGTAAGGTACGAAAGTCAGGGCCGAGTTATGGTGCCCACCTCCGCTAACAGGTTAATAGGAGAAAGCCCTGCTAACCCTGCTCTTCCTCCCTTTCCGCTCAACAGATGTCTTACGGGGAAGATTCAGGCGTGAGCAGACCACTTAGGCCAACATCCTACATTTCCTTCCTATCTGGGATAATTGCTGCTTTGAGAACACCTGCAGGGGGCAGCAGACCAGCAGACTGAATCCAATCCTGCCTGCCGCTTGTCTTTGTAAGGTCTGATTGTTCTCATTCATTTATGTGTTACCCAAAGTCTAGGGCAGCTTTTAGATGTTTCTGTCACTATGCAGACCCAAGAGCCTAAAATGTTATCTGGCCTTTTGTGGAAAGAGCTTGAGAATTCCTGCATCATGAGGGAACCCAGGAACTAGGGAGCGCTTGAGGACAGCTGGGGCTAGCCTACCATAAACAAACAAACAAACAAACAAATAAATAAATAAATGCAAAAAGAAAAAAAACCCCGTATTTTCCCAGAACATATTAAAATATACACAAAGGAAACAAAAGTGTTTCCTACCACATTTTAAACTGTTGTGACAATCTTTCAGGGAGAGAGAATTTCACATCAGCTGGCTCTTACCCTTCATCTCCTGAGGTGAGCTCTTTCTGCCCAAGTGTTCCTGGTCCCCATGTCCGGCCCTTCTTCTTTGGGAGCCTCTTGTCCTCCTCATCCCCTTCCTCTTTTGGGACAACTGAGCTCCGGCCCCAGGTTTTACTGCTTTCACCTGGTGTCACTGTGAATAACAAAGGTTGAGTGAGAAAAGTCTCTCCAAAACTGGCAGATGGACCACACAGACACAGATACACACAGACACACACACGCAGACACACACACACACACACACAGACAGACACACACACACACAGCCACACACAGATACACACAGACACAGACACACACATACAGACACATGCACACACACACACACACAGACACACGCATACACAGAACACACACACATTTATTTTTAAGCAAATACTACAGTAAAAATATAAACAGTCTGGGCCTGGCACATGCTAAAGCTGTGGCAAGCTTTCTTAGGCCCTAGGCTTTAGAAGTACAGACAGAAGAAAGACAGTGAGGCCCAGCAGGGCAGACAGTACAGAGGTCCTCAAGGTGGGTACCAATCTGCATCTACATCATTCCAGTTTGCACACTGCTTTGCAATTCACTAAGGAGCTTCCTCTACCCACGAGCCCCTATTGAAGGTGGAGAGACAGCAGTGAAGTTAACGGGGACAAGGAGCAGGAAGTCTGCAATGCACATGCACGTATGTACACACTGTTGAGGAAGATGGCAGAAGTTATGGCTGGAACAAGCCTGAATTAGTCAGTGGCTGAGCAGAGCGGGGGACAAGTGTCCCTGGTGTGTTCTGAAAACCTGTCTCACACTGGATGGCTCGAAGGCGAGGGATGATGGTGGGGCTAGCAGGAGGGCTCGATCGGCTGCTGAGGAGACTCTTCCTTTTATCCATGGTTGGGGAGGCTTGCACCGTGAACTTGTGCTGGAAATCTGCTTGGGAAGAGACAAATGTGTGCATTAGGATCGTCACACAGTCAGTTTCATTCAAGAATCTGATGTCTCCTGGCAGGCCTGACGGGTAAGCCTTGGTTTTCTGAAAAGCTTTGTTTATCTGAGAAACGTTTTCTTCAGAGTCATCTTTTTCCCCCAAAAGGGACACATCACAGGATAAACACATGACAAAACGAACACACAGATGGCAGTCTTCATAAAGCTCTCATTTAATGGACGCAGGTGGAGCAACTGCAAACTGAGAGTTGCTTCTCAGTGCACATCACCTGATGGATTATTCTAGCAAATGCTATTTGAAAGTATGTTTCAGATGATCAGTCACCATCCATGTCCTTTTCAGGTGCCAAACAGGAAGCATTTGGTGCTGCTTCCAAGGTGCAGGCAGAGCAGGGTATTAAAACCAGCCCATGGTGAGAATGCGGGAATTCAACAGAAACGGGGAAATGACTCTAATTCTCACACAGCTCAAAGGCAGTTTTGATACTTTTGAAGAACATGAAACAACTTTGAAACTTTCAGCTCTTAGGTACTGAATTTCAGCCTCTTCATCTAACAGAGAAGCACTGGGGTCTGCCCACTAGGCTAAACTCTTCCTGCGGATGGGAGCTTCATATCCGCATTGCTAGTGTACAGCAGTGTCCTAGCACAGCCTAGAGGTTCCAGAGGCACCTAACTACTTGCAAAACCAAAAAACAAAACCAAACAAAACTACAACAACAAAACAAAAACACATCATGTATGACAACAGCAATGTACACTCCCATGAGCATATTCTCTCAGTCAGATGACTTTAATTCCCTTGGTCTGTGTTTATTTAAGTTATCATTCCAAAGCTTAAACACCACCCAGAGCCCCTCGGACTATGCCATTTTTCTTTGCTTCCTTACAGTTCTAATAAACTTGCTACCCAAGGCCTTACAGACTTAGCACATAGAGAACTGTTTTAATCTATAGAAATACTCACCTGCCCCCTTGGGCACATTACCCTCCACCAAGATTCTAATCCAATTTCCTATTTCTTTGCATTTCCCCCAGGTAACATTACCAAATGTGTACCTTTATGAATGTACTTCTGAGAAGCGATACATAAATCTTATAATATGAATTTTTGTATTTTTGCCTAATGTTAAGTGCACTGAGGGCTAATTATGAAAAGAAATTTGAGATGCGCAGCTTTGCAGGATTAAGATATGTGCATACCCAGAATTCCCTCACCCTCCAGCTTTTGCCTACAGTGAAGTGTGCTTTCATGATCTGCCATGCTTTGAACGGCTTGGGTCTAGTGTGTCTGTCATCGCTATGTGCTCTGCAGTCACTCACAATGAACAGTTCCCCAAGAAACCTGTCCTCCACTGAGCAAGACGGCCCGTTCCAACAGGTTTTACTCTGAGAGTCACGGTCTGTGCTTCAAACACAGTCTAACTCCCACAAACCCCTGCCACACAGCGCCACCCCCCCCCCCAGCCCCACTCTCTGGCTGCCACCCACCGGAGGGGAGGCTGATGCGGTTTCCATCCTTGAGCTTCAGTCGGCTCTTCCTGAACTTGCCCTTGCGTTTCTTCACCCGGGGCTTCTCCTGGCACAGCTGGTGGATGATGATGTTGAGCTCTCGTTCCAGGATGTCAATCTCCCGCTCAGCCAGCTCCTGCTCCCTGCGTCGCAGCAGCTCCTCCTGGTTCTTCTGCTGGAGCGCAGCCCGGGTCAGCTCCTCCTCCCAGGTACGGAGCTCCTACCAAGGGGAACCAGCAGAGAGAAGAGTGCGTCTCAGGGAATGAGACACCACAGGAGAGAGAGGGTGCTCAGCAGCTGGTGGTAATTGAACACATGCAAGCCCTAGTGAAAGGAAGTGCAGCACAGCCATACTGAATACACTGAAGAGCCTGTGAATACAGCAGAGAGGCTAATGCCACGGAGCAAGCCTGGAGACCGGCTGCCCCTTCCTTGAACAGTAGTGCCTCCTTATCCCTGGGGAGTATGTCCAAGACCACAGGGAATGCTTGAAAACACAGATTCTTCTCAACTCTATGTTCTATGTGTCTTCCTCTAAAATAAATACCTCCATCATAAAATTTAACCTATAAATTAGGCATCGTTAAGAGATTGGCAGCCAATATTAATAGAGTATAATGATAACAACATATTACACTAAAATCACGGGTGTGACCACTCTTGTCCTTTGAAACCATTATTAAATAAAACCAGGGCCGCCTGAACTCAAAACTTCCATATGACAATAACCAACAAGAAACCCAAGACCACTGTGCTGTCTAGCTCGGGCAGTGTGCAGTGTCAGGAAGATGACCGCTCCCAGGAAGGGCAGAGCAAGACTGGATCGTGACGCTTAGAAAAGAATGCGATTTAAAACATGAAACTGTTTACCTCTGGAATGTTCTATTTAATACTTTGGACAGTGGCTGACAGTGGTAAATCAAGCCACAGAAAGCAAAACCACAAATGGGGTGGGGCAGGGAGGATTATTGTAACTACTTATTGACAATTTTCACTTTTCCTGTTGGCGCGTGTCACTTATAAATTGTGTTATGATTTTATCAATCCAAAAACAGACAGAGGTGGCCATGACTCGGTGATTCAGCAATCTAACAATCAAGCAAAAACAAAGTGAGAAACAAAATTAGCTTCTATTATTATCACATTGCTATTTAGTTATTCATTTAGTCCCTGAAACCAAGTTTTAGCCTAGGCTAGTCTTGAAATCACTTGATAGCCCTGGCTGGTCTAGAACTTACAATGTATTACAGTTTGGTCTCAAATTTACAACCCTCCTCCCTCAGCCTCCTGAGGGCTGAGATTACAGGCGTGTGCCAACTTATCACAACGCTATTAACTCCCCCAAATTTCCACAGTACAGAGTGAGCAGAAAAAAAAGGAAATTAGCCAAGACTATAACACAACCACATTCAGGCCTCTGAATCCAGCCCCTTCCAGACAGCACAGGACATATAACTCTACGTAACCAGTCTCAGCCATGTGGATACTGACTGCTAGGGTCATAGCACAAGAAAAGAGAGGGGCCACTGGAGGAATGACCACCAAACCCAGAAGCAGACTCCAGCAATCAAGAGGTGCCAAAGTTCCCGAGATCATTTCAGCTGGGAACCCTTTCCAGAAAAACACAAAAAATTCTAGTTTCAGGCTCCTATCCTCTTTCTCACTGACTCCAAAAGACAACAGCAAGATGTTCTGCTAGCGACTTGAAGTGCTGATGTACCCCTCTATGAAACGGTCCTCCCTCTACAAGTCCCCTGTGGAACCTGGATACCCTTCCAGAACTGTCCATTTTGAGGCAGCAGGAGGAAACACTTGCTGGCAGCTGCCCACAGCTGCTCCTGGGCTGTGGACAATCAAGCCGACCCCGAGGAGGCAGGAATCCCAATCGGTGTCAGTGGTTGGATACACTGAGTCCACAACCCCCAGGAAGCATCTCTGCTAAGACAAGGCATGCCTTTTCCTCTTCTCTACCTTTTCTTTGGCCCTGAGTTGGTCAAACATTTCCTGAATCTCCTGTTTCCAGTCATCCTGCAGGCAGTGGAAGGAGTCCTTGGGCATCTCGAAGAAACCAGACTCTTCTATGGTCGTGAGCTGGTCCAGGATACTGGTGAAAGATGGACGTGAGTGGGGGTCAGGATTCCAGCAGTCTGAATGGAAGAGGGGAAAGTGGAGGTCAAAGGTGCTATGTTGTACACTCTGCTGAGTAAGCACATGGAAAGCGAGACAAAGCTTCTGGTGCCTGACACTGACGCTACCTCACCACTTACAAGTGCACTGGGGTGACTATGCCCCAATCTCCCACACACACACAAGCTACCAGCCCCGAGAAAAGCATCAAGGTGAGTCAGAAGAGTGAACTCCACCCAGTCGCTGCCTGGCCACCAGCACGGTAGGCCTTTCCCTCTGCAGTTTGCTTGGCTCTGCATTTCTCACAGAGTTCTGTTTCTCTCCGTGATTTTAGAGTCCCTTTCTTCCCAGATGACCTTCCGGTCTACACACAAGAGACTCGGGTCTGGGAACAAATGCCACTGTAGCTTACTTGGTATTACATAATAAGATACTGGAATGCAAGATAGCAGGTTTGAGTTACTAATTTCTATAGTCACTGCAGAAATGAACCTGCTTTGGCGGGGCGGGGCCGCTGTCTAGAAACAGCGCTCCCAACTCCTCCCCTGGGCGGCTCATATTTCATCTCCCCTTCTGCAGCAGACCTCGTGGCACTAGGAAACACCATCTTCGTGCCGTGTAAAGAAGGTACACAGTCACCGATTTTCCTCGGGCCAGGAGTTACTCACCTTCCATGAGTTTGGCAAAGGGTTCTGGACATGTAGAAGGGATAGGAAGGGCGAGTTTATTCATGGCCACTCCATAGGCCACTGCTAAGCCATCAATGCCTCGAAAGGGCACCTCGCCAGTCAGCAGTTCCCAAAGCAGCACTCCATAGCTGGGGAAAAAGAACAAGGCAGAAACTATGTAAGAAATAACAGCTACTGGCTCACCAAAATAGCTACAAAGGTTTTTTGCAGGCATCCCACGTCACCCTCAACCCAGAGGAAGATGAATGAAATAGAAACACTAACATAAAGGGAAGTCACAAAGCCTACTAGGTAGAAGTAAAGACTCTGGAGCCAGGTACACCTGGTTTAAAGTGTTGTTCTATCTCCCTGCCTATGAATCCACTGGGCAAATCACTACATTGCTCTGAGCCCCTAATCCCTCCTCTGTAGAGATCAAATAACACTATTAGTCTCACAAGTTTCATAAAATCAAATGCATCTTTAAGACCTTAAATAAATACTCAATGGCTACAGAAATTTTATTGTTTTAAAACAAGGTCTCACTATGTAGCTTAGCCTTGGCCTGGAACTCCTAATCCTCCTGTCTCAGCCTCCTGAGGCCTAGGATTATAGGCGTGCACCACTATGACAGACTGTTTAGAAGAGACTCTCCCAAACAGAACCTTTCTGTTTTTAGACAACTTCTGCCACAGATACAGTTTTTAAGCTTTAGAAAACCAATGAGCATCTATTTAACATGGATTTTTTGCTCCTGCAAAAGATTTCTTTGGATGTTATAACCACTAGGTTATACACATTTCTGACTCTAGAACAGTGTAAGCAGGACCTTCACAGAAGCCTCTGTCTAGTTCTGGGGATAAAGTTCCTCGGGGTAGACTGGGTCAGCAGGGCAGAGCAGCACAGTAGCTGTGGGAACTTCAGTGTCTCCTGACCTAGTAAGTTCAGAGGAATGTGGAGACAGGCACAAAGGAAGGCTTAGTGGACAGATCCCCAATCAAAACCAGGCAAAACCACACAGCAGCACTCAGTCCTTCCAAGAATAAGTGAGGACGGGAAAATAAGGCTACGGACACCAGAAGGCAGGCTCCACTTGCCACTCCAACCTCACACATATTATAACGCTCCTCAGCGGTGTGCAGCCGCCACAAAGGCCGCATTAACTAAACCGTGATGATTATGATGGATCTAGAGGGATTTCTTGTTACTCTTGCATAGGATTCAGATTCAGTGCCATCACCTATAGGGTGGCTAATAACCATCCTTAACTCCAGTTCCAGAGGATCCGACACCCCCTTCTCAATTCAATAGCACCAGGCATGCACATAGTACACACATATACATACATACATACAAAACACTCACACATATAAAATAAGTCTAATTTAAAATTTTTGTAAAGGCAAAATGATAATGAGGATAATTATCAATCCAGTATGCATTTATCAGGACACCTTGTTTGTTTAAAGGACCTTGCTACGTAGGCTGTTTCACACTTTCTATCCCGCCCCAGCCTTCCGAGTCCTAGGATTACAGGTGTGTGCCAACACACTAGACTCTTATTTTCCTTCATATTTTTATGCATATGCTAGACAAGTACTCTGACACTGTGCCCCTCCGCCAAACCTACCATACTTTGTATTTTGTTTGTTGCTTCTTTGCTTGTTTTCTCTGTGTAGCCCTGGATTTTCCTGGAACTTGCTCTGTACGCCAGGCTGGCCTCAAACTCAGAAATCTGCCTGCCTCTGCCTCCTGAGTGCTGGGATTAAGGGCGTGAGCCACCGTGCCCGGCGCCCTTCATGACACTTTGTGTGTGCAGGTAGTATGGCATTTTACAGCATCATCCTGAATCTGTGGGAGGAAGCAGGCAAGTGGGAGCACTGCTTGGCAAGTGAAGAAAGTGAAGTCTTAGATGGGCTTAGTGGTTTCTATAAATGCCCAGCTCCAGACACTAAAAAACAGGGTAAAAGACATAGATCTTCCACACAGAAACGAGTAAGAGGCACAGAAAAAGCAAAGTCAGGATAGGAGACAGAGATAAGCCACAACAGATATACGAGGGCACAAAGAAGAAACCCTTACATCAGATCAGCGTGGGAAAAGCAAAGGACCTTTGAGCGAATTCCTGGTGGCTGAGTGAAAGGGGAAAGTCAGTGCTCCGAGCATAAGAAGGGGCAGCCGTGAAGACGACTGTGCTCAGTTTGCTCACAATCATTCCAGATGGTCTAGCGTGACTCCAACAATGCAGCAGCCTATGTACCAGGCCTACAAATGGCTCCTTGGGGTGGGCCAGCCATCCTGGCTTTACTCTGTTAAGACTTCCAGATACTGCCACTCTCGTTACGAATCTCGACAGGAAATGGCCAGTTGTAAGACTTGTCTCTACAGGAGTTAAAGTTTAGTTGGCAGCTCATGAGAACATCAGACACGACATCCTGTGTTCTAACCACCATGCAGTGTAGCTGTCTGTTTGCCGGTCCACGATTCCTAAAGAGTGGGAATACTACGAATAGCGTTTAATCCTTGAGTTCTCAGGGCCTCTCGCTCAGGCAAAGGTGTCTATAGACACAGAACTGCAGCTCTCACCTCTCAGCACAGGATCTGTTTGCAATAGATGGTGACTATTACAGACTGGTCAAAATACAGAGAAAGTGACTATGGGGTGTTCAACCCCAAGGGGCACATCTCCAGCACAACCCCTACACCTAAGACACACAGAAAATTGTGAAAGAAGAAGCAGAAAATTCTAAAGTCAGAGGGCCAGGAAACCTGCTGCTAGATGGTGCATTCTAAACATAGTAGGGAAGTCACAGCTGTGAAATCTCAGCAATATGGTTGCCTAAACAAGACATACATAATAATACAGTGACGTGTTGAAGTGGGTGGGAAAACCTTATGGTGCCCCACTCCTAGATGAAGAGCTACAGCCAATGTCCACTGAACAAGGGAGAATTGGTTTTCTTCAGGGACGAGCCCCCAGACAGGTTATCCAAGCGGTCAGCCCTAAAAACATGTATGTGTGTGTATATATATATATATATATATATATATGCAACTAAATGGACTCGGGAGGCTGTGTGTGTATAAAACAATAATAATTTAAAAAGAGGTCATAAATTTGAGAGGGAGTAGGAGGGACGGGGGAGGAGTGAGAGGGGAGAGAGGGAGGAGTGAAAATGATGTACCTATAGTTCTTGTGTATGAAATTCTTAAAAAAAAAAAAAGCCATATGAGCTATTAGGCAAAGATGGGAATGAGTGCAAGCATGGTGGGTGTGCCACCACAACCCCTGAACGCCATCAAGAATTACACTATTAGAGCTGAGGATGTGGTTCAGTGGTAGAGTATCTGTCTAATGTATAGACCACAGCTTCCAGCCTTAGTATGAGGACAGGAAATGAGGGGGGAACAGGATGGGGTGGGAAATAAAGAAAAACTAAACATCTACCAAACCTTGAGTATGACTTGTATAGTCACACTTGGAAGCTTTTAGCAAGCAACCTCAAAGAGCCCTCAGTAGCCCTGGCCAGATTCCTAGGTTAGAGCTATTCCCACCTTCAGTTTAAATGCCCATTTTAGTATAAAAACCCATTTCTACACACACACACACACACACACACATACAACAACAACAACAACAATTTTTAAACAAAAAACAATGACCATATACCCACTGACCCCTGTCCTCCATCCAGGCAAAGATGATTAGTGTCTGAGCCCTAAATACAGAGTGTTTCAAAGGCATAAGCATGCCTGGTTTGTGTCCTGGCATCCCTCCTCTGGTGGTTTCCCTCTAGGCCTTCTAGGTAGCCTATGAAGAAGTCCAGGCCACCAGTAAGAGGGAGGGAGAAGTCAGGGTTCTACCCTCCTCAGCATCAGCGAGGGACGTCTACCCTACGGGGCTATCATCTGTGAGCTGCTCCACCTGGAAGCTTAAGAGCTGAGGAGAGGGAGGATGGTGCACAGTAAAAATTCAATAAATGGCACTTGTAAAAGAATCACAAATCAGTTTAGAACCAGCTTTCTACAAGTTCATCCATGTCCATCCTCACTGGGACCCCTGCTGGATCTGAGCCGCGGTAGGCCAATCAATATGGAAGAGGTTGCTCAAAGCACAGGAACAAGAGTGCAGAGTTGGTGACATGTTTCCAGTATCTAAGCGTTGCTGTGTGGATAGCGATGAACAGGTATTTCCTCTGGTAAACATGAGAGATTGTCTGAAGTCATTCAGAGTATGCTTGAGGGGAGAGGGGTGAAGGCCCATATAAAGGAGTCAGTAGACCATATCTTCAAGAAAATCTCACAGCATAGGAGAACACTGGGAAGAAGCAGGCATACTATGTTTCCATGCAGTCATCCAGACTGGAACAAGGGCTTATGTCCTAGGTAAATTTTTAAAAATTTACTTAATATTTTTTAATTATGGGGGAAGCATATGTACACTTGTGAGTGCAAGTGTCTCCAGAGACCAGGAGAGCACTGGATCCTCTCCAGGTAGAGTTACTGGCAGTTGTAAGTTGTGTGCTGTAAACTAAACTTGGATCTTCTGCAAGAACAGTATGTACTTTTTTTTGTAAGTTTTTCAAGACAGGGTTTTTCTATATTGATTTGGCCATTTTGGAATTAGCTCTGTAGACCAGGCTGGCCTCGAACTCAGAGATGAGATCCATCCACCTCTGCTTCCCAAATGCTGGGACTAAAGGTGTGCTCCACTATGCCTGGCCAGTATGTACTGAGACATTTCTCCAGCCTCCCTGAGAACAATCTAAGCTAGAGTCACTGGTTGTGCTGGCTAGTTTTATGTCAACTTGATACAAGTTAGAATTATGTGCAGGAAGAAACCTCAATTGAGAAAAAGCCTCCATAAGATCAGGTTATAGGGAAGCCTATAGGGCATTTCTTAATTAGTAACTGATGGGGAAGGGCCCAGCCCATTGTGGGTGGTGCCACCCCTGGGCAGGTGGTTCTGGGTTCTATCTGAGCAAGCCATGAAGAGCAAGTCAATGAGCAGCCCTCCTCCATGGCCTCTGCATCAGTTCCTGCCTCCAGGTTCCTGCCCTGTTTGAATTCCTGTCCTGGTTCCCTTCCAGGATGAATAGTGTTGAGGAAGCATAAGCTGAACAAACCCGTTCCTTTCCAAGTTGCTCTT